TGGTGCCGTGACCAAAGGATAGACCCTGAGACAGCCACGTCACGTCACATCGATCGTATGTAGAGGCGCTAAGTGACGAGCGTGTTCGCCACGACGTACTAAAAGAGGGACCGCTGAGACTGTCGGCAGCAATAGAGCTGGCCAATGAGAGCCAGGGCGTATGGAAAAAGGTGAAGAGGTGTGGGAGGAAACAGATACCAAGTCAGGAGGCCGGAAGAAGGGGGGGTAGGCGGAAGATCCCCCGCGTGGAATCAGAAGGTTAAAGTAGAAGTAGATCAGGCTGAAGTATGGGAAGAAGACCCCAATAGAAAGGCATGGTCGACCAGGCATGGCTTTTATAAGCCCACGCCGGGTCGACGCAGCGACCAGGGGGGGGGGGGCGACATCACAAGTATTATATGCACATATATACAAAAGCGCATAGTTATGGACGCGTACGTACAGGAATTAAATAAACTGAGAAAAAAGTTAGCAGTGAAACTTTTTGCAATACTAATGCCCAACCAATGCAACAATCCCTAAAATAAAACAACTATTCTATAGAACAATATCATTTTATATATGGATTAGTAACGCAATCTTCATGGTTGGGCCCGTTATATACGCCACTGTCCGCATCGTGACTGTTTCATATATTCATAGAATCCATGTGTCTGAATTTTTTAAAGCATTTCACCCCAAGCAAGGCAGGAGATCCACTAGCCAACAGGGGGTTATAGAGAGTGAAAGTGAGGGAAAAGACTGTGTATAAAGGGGGTTGAGGAAAGGATAAAAGAAGAGCAAGTATCAAGGCAGCAGAAGATGGCAATTGACGTTGCATTGAAGTTTTTGAAGATTATAGTTATCAGGGAAGCAAGTAAGAGGAAGGGAGTTCCACTGTCGGGAAGCGCAAGAAAAGATACTGCTGGAGTAGAAGTGGTGATTCCATATAACTATTTCAACAGTAAAAGGGTGGCATCAAGATGCCAATCTAGTAGCACGCTTAAATTTATGTAGTCGAGGCATTACGGAGGATAGCTCATTAGAAGAGTTACTATGAAAATATTTGTAGAAAAGACAGAGAGAAGCTACATCACGTCTATGAGAGAGTGACTGAAATCGAAATGTCAAGCCAGGACAGATTACATTGCAGATCCATGTATGGATTTTGAGGAGGACCTCGAGATGAACAACAGAATCACCAGACCAGATATATCAACAATATTCAATGTATGGACGAATGGCAGATTTCTAGATATGTAAGATGGACTCTGACGAGAAAAAATTTTTGGCACGACACTGTGAACCGACTTTCCTTGCAGAAGATGCAACTATTGATTTAATGTCGTTATTACACTTCAAGTCACCGGAAAACGGAATCATCAAACTCAAATGCCTCTCTAGAGTCACAGCTCGAGTTTCGCCGTTATTAACAAGAGCTTGATATACATATTCAGTCATGATTGTAAGCACATCAGCGTTAGACCGGTAGATTGTGAGACTTAATATGCTTAACCAATTCGGCATTGATTAAAGACTCGTTGACTTTGCCGAAAAGCTGTAGGAGATTGATAGGGCGGTAGTTAGAGGACTCAGAATGTTCTCCAGAGTTTTTTAAAAACAGGGACTACTGAACAGGACTTCCAACAGGCTGGAAAACCGGAAGCAGCGAGACAACAGGTGTATAGTTTGGAGAGAATTACAGATAACTCAGGAGCACGTTTCTTTAGGGCGATATCTGGTATCCCATCGCCTCCACTTGCCTTATGGGAGTTTAATTTAGAAATGATGTCCCAGACCAACCACGGGGCCATGCACATATCACTCAGTAGAGCCACATTTCTATGGGGGAAGTCGGGTGTGAGCACACTGGATGAGCCAAGAGTTGTCGGATAAGAATTTTCGAGCAAACCATTCACTCTTATCTGCTGTAGATGTTAGGACTTCGAATTGATTGAATAAAGAAGGGATTGAGGATTTGCTGTTGTTCAGCACACGTAGAGACACTAATATTCTCTAGAACCAAACTTGCGAGATGCTATACGATGTTTCATTCTATCGGCAAACAGTAACTTTGCTTCAATGAGCACACTCTTGCACTCGTTACGAGCAAAGAGACGCCTTGTACATCAGACATGTCGCTGTGGTACAGATGGAAGAAGTGATTCCTGTAGGCTACAGCGGCTGAGCAAGTAGGTGAGAACCAAAGAGATGAACGCGTTTTTTTCTTACTGAAATGAAAACATCGATGCCGCCTTTTACCCAGGAGGAGACCCCAGACGCGCATTTTTGAACGGGATGATTAAAAACGACATTTCAAGGGACGTCAGGAAGGAAATCTCGGAACGAGTCCCAGTCCGCTCGTTGATAACAGAAAGATATTCTGCTGGTAGGGTGTTCTTGGCTGGTGGTGGAGCGGAAGGAGTTTTTTTACAGACACAACCGCGAGGTCAAAGTTGCCAAGAGGGCAGAGCTGCAGAGCATGATATGAGTCAGGAATAAAAGAAAGAGATCGAGAAGAGAAGTGTTTACTGGAGAAAGTCACAGGAAACTCAACAACTTGTGTGAGGGATTGAAGGATTCAAAAGTTAAGGGTTTGGATGCCAGCGGGGTCAGCGTTTAAGCCACCTGGTATGGTTGGCGTTAAAGTCATCAAACACAAATATGTTAGCAGGCGGGTGTAGAGAGATGGCCTTGTCAATATTATATATAATAAAATAAAAATATAATATATTTAGCACGTAGCAGTCATGAGGGGTAAGGGGTCGGCAGATAAAGAGTTGATAGCTGACTGAATTAAGTCGTGAGACACGCATATGAATGATCTGGAGATTCAAGAGAGTTCCTTAGCCAGCGGGCGATGTTCGCATACATAAACTCCCAGGCCGTGCATATAGACACTGGAGTCCTTTCTAATTAAAGGAAGGTGGTCAGGAATCGAGAAATCAGAGGATTAACGAGTTAAGGTTTATTTTACAAAGAGCTAGGATGTCCGGAGACTTTTCGGAGAGAAACGATTCCACACTGCAGAAATTGGTCGGAATACCACGAATGTTGGAGAAAGGGAGGTTGAGGGGTTTAGGTGACTTTGCAACTGTTGATCTTTTATAATCTTTAGGTATTATTACAATGCTTATAATCGCTTTTTAAAACAAACATTGCCGAGGAGTGAAGGTAGTTTAAATAATAGCGGCGTCAATGGAAAAACCGTCCTCTTGACACCGTTTTTTTTTTTTTTTTTTGTGTTTTGTGGGTACAACGGTCCAAGTTTGCCCAGTTTTTCAGAAGACTTCTCTGAAGAGGCTTCTGTTCAATGACTGTTGGTATATAAGTGGTCTGTGCTAGACACTACTGTGTCTGTTTGACAGTGGTGCATGCCGCTACCAGATTAATTGGTAAAAGAGCTCCGTGTAAACAGATGTCATGCACTGGAGATGTACACATGCTCTATTTGATCAAAGCCCCGTTTGAAAGGTCCGAATTGCCGGGTTTCAAATTTAATGTCGATACGTGCTACGATTTTAGCAACAGTGACCAATCCATATTCGCGTAGACTAGGACCTTAATGTAGTTCACGCAGATAGAAGCGCAAGATTAGACAAATATGGTGCCAGTAGATGAGCCAAAATTTGGCTCTATGAAGAAAGATAGCGAGCAAGATGAGATTACAGACTCTTGTTATTTTTTTTATTTTACGCCATGGTTTTCTCTTTCAGGTATGTTTGCATCGTTTCCTGAAAGACTGACTCAGTTGACCAAAGTTTTATTTTTTTTATCGACTGTTATTAAAATCAGATCGTAATATGAAGTCCGTCGGCACATGACGAGATATCTCCGCTTTTTCATCTTTGAACGCATAATTAATGATTCGTTTTAAAATAATTATTTATCAAGTTCATCCCCAGCAAAGCGGTAAAACCACTAAGACACAAGGACTGAAAAAATTAGAAAACAGAAAACATTTCTAAGTAATACCGAAGAGTAATCGAGGGAGGGGCAGTAGATAGCGGTTGATATTGCATTTAAACATTTGAAGATTAATGTCAGCTAGAAAAGACGAAAAGGAGTTCCACAAGCGAGAAGTGCGAGAGAAGAAACTGTTAGCATAGAACTTACGGTTACATCTATCGGTGGGAAAGTTGAGATGCCAGATCAGGACCAACGATATTGCTGATTCTTCTTTGGATCTTTAGATATATAAGCAGGAGCATGTTAGACATTTCCATGACGGTCGTCCTCGAGTATAGAATCCAGAGGTTGGCAGTGAATATTTCGGAGACAGTAGGAAAGCGTAGTGCAGGTTCGCAGTGGATATCGTAACAGAGCGTAGTTCTTCCGTCTGTCATGTTCGCCGGACAAGTTGCCTTCCGCTAGGAGAAATAAAGATGGCCGCCTTTATACACGACGAATACAGTATTGTGCGGCTTCTGATTGGTCAACCTTCTATTGGTCGACTATAAAGGGAAATAAGTCATTTTGACTCGCTCACTAGTTATACGTTATATACCCAAAAAACCGTAACAGAGCATCGGACCATATGTGGGAGCAATATCATAAGCATGAGCAAATGGCAAACTTATAGACATGTAAAACAGATTCTGCGGAGAATTTAAATAAGATCCCTTCCTTTTCATCTTTCATTTTACTATAAAAGCAATTGTTATTTTCAAATACGTTGTGAGTGATGGGCTTTCAGATTTTTCAGATCTTTCCTCGTGAAAGGTCGCATGTCGTTTATTGAGATGTTATATTGGCGATAACGAGTTTCCAACTCACATAATCAAAGTCTTTGAATTATGACATCATTCAGTTTTTATTTGTTTAGATTTGTCGAACTTTTGACAGAATGTGTTTTGGGTTTACCAAATCTTCTTTCAAGAGGATTCGGAACGATCAATATAAATAAATATAAACAAAACATTTGCCTCTCTCTCTCTCTCTCTCTCTCTTTCTCTCTCTCTCTCTCTCTCTCTCTCTCTCTCTCTCTCTGTTGTGTTTGTGCCTGTATTGTACGTTTTTAACTAATATACATAAATAAGCCAGGGACTTGACAACATGATGAGATAAACAAGGCATTTAATCGAAACATGTTTTTTATACAATAACCAACAAAATAATGGAAAATAGAAGAAAGAAAGAAAGAAAGAAAGAAAGAAGGAATGTATAAAGTAAGGAAGAAATAGTAAGCTATCAAATAAGAAGGTAGGAGAGGGAGAAAGGAACGAAGGGACCTCGAAGAAAGTAAAGGAAAGAAGGAAAGTAGCACCATGTATAAAGAAAGAAGACGAAGGAGAAAGTAACGAAGAAAAATAAGAAAGGAAGAAAAAGAAAGGAAAAGGCAAAGAGAAAAACGAGAGAGAAAAGTAAGGAAGTAATGGTAGAAAATAATGAAGTGAGTAGAATAGGAAGAAGTGAGGGGAATAGAGTAATGGACAAAAAGAAAGAAAGAAAGAAAGAAAAAGAAAGAAAAAGGGAAGTATAAATAAAAGAAAGAGAAAGAAAAAGAAATCAAATGAGAAGAAAGGAGAAAGAAGTGAAAGAACGAAACGGAAAATAATGAAGCAACTTGAAAGTAAAAAGAGGAAGGAACAAAGTTGTAAGGAAGGGAGAAAAAAAGATGTAGGAGAAATAGTGACAGGACGAGAGAAAGGAAGGGAGAAGAAAGTGGGGAAGGAAAGGGGGAAGAAGGAATAATTGTGATAAGGAAATAACAAGAAAAGTGTGTGAGAAGTGGTGGGAAAATGGAGAAGGAAGGAAGGAAGGAATAAAGTTATAAGGAAGGAATTAAAAAAGGTGTTGGCGAAATAGTGGCGGGAGAGTTTCTTACACAAGTTTCTATTATATAATATTGGAACGGCTATGCGATCTTTACGAAGTCTTAAAATTCGTGCAACCTGCCGAGTCGGATATCTTTGGAGAACATCGAAATCCATCATCAGAATTATATTATATCGCACACTTTTCTTTTTCAGAGTCTTGTTTTGAAAGCCTGTAATAGCTCAAATGTTCAGAGCACACAGCAGCAAAACACCAGAAAATATGGAGAAAAGGGAGAAAATTGTCAAATAAATCATATTATTTCCTGGAGAAATAGTGCTTAATTTTCAGGATCATATCTTGATAATTATATCACACACATACAAACATATATATATGGGGGGGGCGAGTGGTTAGAACCTTCTGTCCCGGGCTCCAATCACATTATAGTCGATTTGTCAGGAATGTGAGTTCTTGATAATATCGTCCTAGGGAAATGATCTCAGCAACATCTTTGAAAAGTCCCTGGAAACCATACCACCGGTTAACCAAACACTTCTGAGTGAGATCGGCCATACGGAACCGCTATGAAACTGAACAGAGAGGACTTGTCGGGTGAATTTTAGAAAACCTATTTGGATCCCTCTCTCTCTCTCACACACACGCTCTCTCATTCCCTCTGTTTTCATATATATATATATATATATATATATATATATAGTATGTAGAAATGAACCTTTCGCGGTATCTTTTGCTTGCTGGTTGGGTGATTGGAAGCAGTGTGTATGTAATTAGGTTACGTTTATTTATGATCATGGCATCTGGAATGCTAATTTATAATTGTATATTATGTATTTATTATTTTACTCATTTACTTATTTAATTTTCTTTCGTGTATTTTTCTATATTTTAGGATAGAATTAGAGTACAGGCTGATCTTCATCCTTTTTTAACCGTAGTATGGTATTAGGTATAGCAGAAGGAATTTGTTTTCGTGTCTTTATTTAGAAATGAGCATTGATCTTTTGTTTAGAAATCTTAATCTAGGAAGTTATTTATTGCTATTTTATCCCCTCGTTCTACATTGTTGCTATAAGTTGGTACTGTTTTCCTTATTATAAGACTTATTTTTTTACAGGGCCTGAAAAAATATGCCCCATCCGAACGACTTCCAAAGTTCTAAGCATATGGCTAAACTCGCATCATTTTTGCATCATTCATGTTTGGACCGAGAACTTTTCAGGCTCCCTTTTTGTAAGCTTACGCACATGCTGTTGGCTTGTTTTATTACCACCTTCTTTTTTCAGAGCTGCAAAGTCTTGACAAATCCTCGAATTGCATTGTTTTTAATCATTTTGATTGATAGTCGTGTATGAATGTCGGATCAGGGCTGATTCGTATCAAGTCACGTATTATCTGCTACAGACCTAGTCGTGTTGCCCACACCATTTAGTTCAGAGATTTCTACCCACACGTGGAATAACTACGTTACGCCCACCTGTAGTTGTTCAATCTTTAGTCTGAATCGAATGACGTCGACAAATCCTGCGTTACAACACTCCACTTTTCATATTAAATGTAGAAGAGGAAAGCATCCCTTACCGACGCCATAGAGATAAGATGACGCAATCATTTCGTGATAAAACAATTAACAGATCCTTTTGATGTCATCGCACAAAGCTTTTTTTCCTTATTTCCTCTTCCCTCTTTTCGTTATTTTCGCTTTTCTATTTTTGATTCTTCAAGTCTCGTTCTATCTCGTTTACTGATCTTTTTTTCTTTTTTTTTTTTTTTGTTATGTTCTCGTTTTTCCCATTCGATTTACCTTGATCTCTATTCTGTTTTATGCATCAATTTCTTTTTACTTGTGAATTATTTGGCTATGTTTTCTTTATGCCTTTTCCATTTTTCTCTTTTTTCTTCGTTTATTTTGTCTTATTTATTTATTTCGTATCTTTATTCTCTTACTCTTCTTTCCTTGCCTTCTTTACGTCAGGCTTTTCTTTTCTTACTGATCTCTTTCTATCTGCAATTTTTCTTTCTTTTTCCTTTCTTTCTTTTCTTCTATTTACTTTGTCTTTTTTTTATCGTTCTCTTTTTCTTCTTCTTTCATTTCGTGTTTCATTCTTTCTTTCTTTCTTTCTTTCTTAGCTTTCCTTCCTCCATTTCTTTCTATCTTATATATAATCTGTTTCTCTTTCATCTATTTTTTCTTTCTTTCTTTTTCTTTCATTATTTTTCTCTATCTTTCTTTCTTGTTCCTTTTCTTCATTCCCACCTTCCTGGTCTCTCTTGGATTCTTTTTTACCTTTTCTTTTTTTTTCTTTTTTTCTTTCTTTTTTGTTTGCTATTCGTTTATTTCTCTTCTTTCTTTAATACTTTTATCTTTTTATTTCGTTTTTTTTTCTTAAATTCTGCCTTCATTATTTCATTTTTAATCTTTATTTATTCATGTTCTATTTGGTATTTTGGGGGTTTTTTGTTTTGTTTTTTTTGTGTTTTTTGGTGGGGGGTTGTATTCCTTCCTTTCTTCCTTTATTCTTTCTCATGCTTCGTTTTTCTTTCTTTATTTTCCCGCTTTAAAAATATTTTCTCTACTTTCAATCATAATCACTATGCCGTTCTATTGCCGTTCTTTATACACCGATGTCACTGATTCCTACAACCATTAGATTTTTTTCTTTTATTATCCTTGTCTTCACGCACCCTCGTTTCTCTCTTTCTTTCTTTCTTTCTTTCTTTTTCTTTCTGTGTTGTAAACAATTCCTTCTTGAAATATATTTTATCAGCAAGTATTTTACATGATAGTTCAAGTATAAAAACCGTCATCTCAGCACTAATCCTCTAAAACGGGATGTATAAGAAAAATGAATTTTGCGCATCGAGGAACAGAATCCCGTAAAGACGGGTCGGGATTTTTCTTTCTTTTTTTTTCTCAGCGCATTCTATTTTAATTGCTTCTCTGCACATTGACAATAAAAAGAACACCATTTTTTTATCAAAAACAGGAAGAAATATTCTGAACTGCGTTACGAATATTTCTAAAGACACTGTCCGTTTGCATTGAATGTATTTATTCTAGCTTTTTTCGGTTATAAACATTTAATGAACAATAATAAATGATTGGCCCTTCCCTAATTCTAAAGGTGGCACGATCATAAATGATAATTTCATTTTTGCAGCCCCCAAAACTAAGCTATTTAAGTTTATACCAACATCGATCAAATCCTGAGAATTTTTTTTCAGTCACGTTGAGCGATTCTATTTTCAATAAGGCTTCGTGTTTGAACGTCTGTCTCAAACATCTTCACTTCTTCCTGATTCTTTTCCTTTCCAAATAATTTTTCTTTCACTATAATGTTACTCATAAGCCCAATGAAAATGATTACAAGCAAAAAGTGTCGATGAATCTCACTGCATGAGTATAAACTGAAAAAAAGAACCATTTTTGCATCAAATCATTACATGCGATGAGAAATGGATAATCGAGATTTATTGCTTTAAAATACAGCAATTGTGGCTAAAAATGGATACTCTTTGACAACAGTAAGAGGGTAGGCCAGTGGTTAGATGTGAGTGAAAAACCAAAACAATACACAAAACCTCCACTGCAACTTAAAACGTTAATGGTTACTGCATGGTGGTCTTTCAAAGGGTTATTTATTGTTTATTGTTGCCTCAAGGGAAAACAATTAACAGCAACCTCATATTGTGGCGAAATTGATTGTATACACAACAAATTGAAAAAGAAACATCCTAGACTTATGAATAGGGTTGGACCAGTTTTGCTTCACGACAACACACGGACACACGCTTATGATTCAACTGTCCAAGCGATGCAGAGTCTGAATTATGAAATTTTGCCTCATACTCTATATTCCTCTGATATATCTCCAACTGATTATCACTTATTTAAGAATTTTGAGCTTTTTATACACAATAAAACATTCTCCAATAAGGTAGAGATAATCGAAGCATTTGAACTGCTTATCACATCAAATGATGATAATGTTTTTTTAAAGATGGGGTCAAGAATTTAGTGGTAGGTTGGAGAACAGTCATTCATCAACATGGTGCGAATTTCAACTAAATAAATTAGTTATTTCGCATTTCAGAAGTGTTTTATTAATTAAGTGCGTCATTTCATGTGTGATAACCTAATTAGCTATTTAACATTTCACAAGCGTTGTATTCATTTCCTATAACGTGCGTCATTTCATGTGTGGCAACCTAATATATTTCTTAACAAAATACACTGTCTCTACTGTCAGCAATTAACATTGTTAACTGTGAATACATTAATGGTTCTAATTGCTACAACCGTTATATTTAGTCGGTACATGTGTTTGCGTAGATATCATTGCTTTTTTTTTGTTTTTTGTTTTTTCTAGACAGGGTGAATCTATGTCTACCGGACTTGAATTCGAGAGTCTTAATAAGGAACCTTCGATTTCGACAATGTTAGAATGCATCCTCCTTATACTGAGAAAAATCACTTTCGGTCCAGAAACGTACAGTCACGAAAAGAGTTCAGATGAGTCTAACCTCCAATTGCTCTCTTTAAGAAATACACATCTTTTGATTTGTATCTATCGAAACATCTACATGCTAAATTTATTTTAGTATCCGACAAGAAGTTGTGGAGAGCGATGATCGGTAACATACTGAAAGGGCACAGCACAAAAAAAAAGATATCGTCCTCCGGTCTGGTTTATATATATATATATATATATATATATATATATATATTTGTAATATTAGTGGTCAGTACACACACACACATACATACACACACACACACACACACACACACATATATATATATATATATATATATATATATATATATATATATATATTCCCAAGAGGATAGAATCCAGGTAGAACTCAATAACCGGGACAGAGTAAGAATATAATCTAAAAGGCTCAACCACTCATATTCCATGGTTATAATTTATTACATTGGAATCGTAATCACGGTCCAATTCATCAAAGCTACAAATTCAAAAAGAAATCGGAAAATATAACTCCGGGTATAAAAAAACAAAATTTTAATCAGAGTGTATGTGTGGGAGTGGGAAACAAGTGTGAGAGGGAAATGTATGAAAGCTCTAGAGAGAGAGGGTGTAACAGAAGAAAGAAGAACAGAATGGTCTAGAGGTGAAGGTGGGGGTTAAAATTTAACAGAGAGAAGTTTTAAAGACAGGAGTTAAATAACGGTTTAATTGAGTGAGATACAGATGACTACAAATTATTTTCAAATGCATAAATCACTACCGATTCGTTGACCTAAAATTAAAGTTAAAAAACACACACCGGAAACATGTGGACACATTTGTGGTGACATTACACGCAATAAAAAACGATATGATCGATATATATATATATATATATATATATATATATATATATATATTCACCAAAAACAAGGAAATAATGCCCCTAATAGAAGGCTACTAGAAGAGAAAGAGAATGAAAATAAAGAGGTTTTCCGGAAACCTAAACAGGGAACAAATGAGGAACCTTTACTTCTGTTAAAAAAAAGCCGGGGAGGTGTATGAACCGGGCGATAGGCGAACCTACACACTCCTATTGAGAAGAAGAAGAGTAAAAAAAAAAAAGGAAAGAAGCAGTAGATAAAATTAGAACTAGACTTCAGAAGGGGCCATTAATCCAAATAATCAACCTCTACTCCTGTTCAAAAGACCAGCGAGGAGTGTGACCTTAATGCTCCCATAGGGAAAGAACATTTTTAGATTTCCCTTCAGTCGGAAGTATATTTAAGGCCAAATTTTCGACGTAGCAGAGAGATTCTAAATGACCTTTAGCAGTGACCAATATCAGTTATATGTTTTCATCATCCGGGTCATTCAATATTCGCTTCATGCTTTCCTTATCCAAGTCATTCAATATTCGCTACATGTTTTCGTTATCCAGGTCATTTAATATTAGCTACATATATTCTTTAACCAGGTCATTTTGTATGAGCTACATGTTTTCCTAATACAGGTCATTTGATATTCGCTACATGTTTTCCTTTCGATGTCATTTAAAATAATTCAAACAAACCGAGAAAACAACAAAAGAAATTTTTTTTTTTCCTGACGGTGTTCTTGTCTTTTTGACAATCTTTTTGAGCCAAATGATCGTTAATTTGTTTATATTCACAATTGTAATCAATGTCTGCTTGTTAAAATAAAACTTTCTGTCAGTGTTGTTAAGGAGTTGCGATGACACAACGAAGGTCAACAGAAAATACGTGTAAATATCATATTTCTTGCTTCAAATGTCAAAATTAATTTTGTTATCACTTCGCAAACCTGCAGAAGCAGGCATCCTATGATGAGGAGGAAAAAACGTACATTCTGGAAATGCAGAGAAGCTGAAGCATTCTAATATATATTCGTATATAAATATTCATACATGTGCCAATATATACACTGTAAATATGTGCGCATAGATAGATAGATAGATAGATAGATAGATAGATCGTATTTTTTAGACTTTTATCTATGGGAGACACTAAATGATGTGCATGGAAGAAATCTGAGTACATTAGCAGCCCTGAGACAAGAAATTGAAAATGCATGTGCAGCAATCCCACTGGACACATTGTCCAACGTTGGCTAAGCAGAAGTTCGTCGTACTAATAAATGTCTGGAATTTAAATGCCACCATTTTGAGCACCTCTTATAATTATGGAGTCCGAAAGTAACTTGTGTTAAGTTAATCTTGTTCTGCCTGAATAAATAGTATTACAATATTTATAGAAGGTTTTCCTTTCCTGAAGTGTGTATACGATTTTTAACGGATACTATATATATATATATATATAGAGAGAGAGAGAGAGACAGAGAGAGAGAGAGAGAGAGTTATCCACAGACAAACTGTTTCTCTCATCAGTGTGGCTAGACATCAGAATGGATTCAAGTCGGGATCGAAACGCGACCGATTTGGCATGTCAGAGATCGACCCCCAAGCTATCATCGCACGGCAGAGCGGAAGGGAAATTTTACTATGCGAAAGACGTCAGTAGCTAGAAGAACCCGATTCTAGTTGAAGAGCATTGCATTAGCAGCAGCCTCCACTGTTTATAAAATCACCCCTTCCTCTCCGAGAGCTCAATCGAAATATTTAAATAGTCATCCACAGATAGACTGTTTCGCTTCATGCCGGGATCTCAGTCAGAGATTCTACCCTCAAGTTATCGTTGCCCGGCAGAGCTGATGGGAAATTAAAATTAATAGCAATTCACAGAACCCACCACACGTATATACGTACGTGAGAGGAGATATTATTCAGCGACAGAACAGAAAAATAGTCTGATTGTTGACATGTATACATTCACAACAAATATTTACTACACATCCCATCTTTAAATTTTAGTAACCAAATGCGTATATATGTAGACAAGAACACACATATACATACATATGTCAAGTCCCATACTGTCCACATATATTTGTTTGTAGGAGCCCCTGCGGCCGAGCACGTGTGTATGTGTGTCTGCGTACCTCATCGGGTGTACGGACATGCAACTATGTTTGCGTTAGCATGTGTGACATCACGATTCCCCCCCACTTCCATAATAACACCAATACAAGCAATCTACATAAATCCAAAATTTTTTAAAAAGTTTGTCTGACGATGACAAAAGCGTGAAACCCAGGGTCACAAACTCACATCAATCGAACAATATATATATATATATATATATATATATATATATATATATATGTGTGTGTGTGTGAGAGAGAGAGGGGGGAGCATGTATGCACGCTCGTATGAATCAGCTACAAATAAAATAAATAAAAGATAGAAGGAAAATTTTTCTTGACCAAGGCTTTTCGTCCCATGATGGCTGGTTTTCTTTTGTTTAACGGCATACCAATCTCTAGGGGTTATTTAATGCCGTAAAGAAAGTTCTATCTCAGTGTCGGGTCAGAAAGTTAATCCTATTAACACACTATTGAATTTGAAATATTAAATATTATATGTCAAAACTCACAACGAGCACTGAACTGAGTCTGAAAAATCCTCCGAATTCTAAATTTAAAAATTCGCAGGCGAAAGTGGTCATTAACTAATGGTATTTTAATTACAATTGTACGAAATACAGACACACACACACACACATATATATATATATATATATATATATATATGCTTGAAATGTGATACACAATATATGCGCACATAATTTTCCATTTCTTCCCACTATCGTTTTCAGGAATTCGACACACACATAGAAGTTATAAGGCAGACACAAAAACGCATACTAAAATTCATGCATACACACGCCACACGATATAAACACGTGATATCTATCTGACCAATGGAAACAAACGGTATAGCATTTGAAATACCGACACTTTCTAGGATGATCACTGTTTAAAATAGGGATGCCTATATTAACTCTATGATATTAAAACCATTGTTATGTAACTCTATGGTATCATATTATATATCATATGATATTTGGATAGGTGGATCTCGTCAGTCGTGATATCAGTTCATCAAGGGGACGGAAGAACTGATTTTAAACCTCCACTGCCATGCAGTCATATCTAAACAAAAAAACTCTGTAAGTAAATGCAGAAAGGAAAATTCGGAGTGGAGTCCCGAAGGTAGTTGGGTGTCAGCATTAGCAACCTTTCGGCCACACCTGCGGCCAAGTATTTTTGGATCTTGTCGGTAAGGCTGAGAGTGGTTGATTGATCAGGAAGAAGATTTCCTGATGTTATTGGATTGGTGGGGTCGATCACAGCGTAAGGCACCTTTGCCTGAAAACCATGCCACGGGTTGACCAAAGCCTTGTGAGTGAAATTAGGGGCGGGGGGGCGTCGATAGCTGTACTAGCACAAAGTCACAAGTCATCGTGACCGAGGGTTTTAGTGTGCAAGCCTTGTTCAACTTCTTGATCACACTAGATAACTGTAACTAAGGTCTACTCAGCACATAAAACCACAAGTGGGGTCAGTGAGTGTTGAATAAACACAAATGCGCCTGAGATAGGAATTGGTTAGACGCCCTAATAGACAGGTATCCTCGAATACGAGTGGCCAGCTATATATATATATATATATATATATATATATATATATATATATATATATATATGTATGTATATATATAGCTTTCCCTGACGATCCGCTTAGGTAGGTTTGTCTGGCTCACTAGGTTTATCTAGGTCGGCTCTGCGGTTGTATTGAGCTCTTTTGTTAGTTAGTTGTTTACTCGTGTCGGGGTTTTTTCTTTGGGCTTTGAACCTGTATCTGTGCGATTTGTTTCGACAGGCTTTCATGTTTCTAGCTCTTTCTTTTTTTAAAACCTTTTTTTTTTCTTCGAGGTTGATTTGATTATTGGCACATCTAAAACTCGAAGGTTTTTCGAGACGAGTATAGTTACCTATATATATATATATATATATATATATATATATACGTTATGCTACAGCTCTGTGATAAATCTGTTATTGTTACTATATAAACATTATACCATGTTAACTCTATGTTACGATGCAGCTATGATAGTAACATTACGTTACTCATTACTATGTTGCAGCCTATTAACTCTGTGATACTAATGTCATGAGATTATGTTACGATGTGACTCTATATTAAATCTTTGTTGATGTTAACTTTATATTCCTAAATTTAGCATTTGTACTCCAGACGTGTTCTTTTAACAAAACCTAAACTTAAGCATCTGCAACTCTATGTAAACTGCAGAAAAAATATTCCAGTCTACATAAGCTTCGTGTTTTATGCGTCGCGGCTGATCCTGATTTTACACAATTTACTATTCCCGATAACCAGTCAAATAAATCTATCCGAGGCACGCATTTCAGTCAAATGTCCGCGCTATTGGTGACCGGTTTTGATCAAAGCAACGCAGGTGGAGCCTAGTTAAAATGCCTTCAAGTCGGGTAACCCTCTTCCGGTCAGTGGTCTCCGATTGAGGGTGTTCCGATGTATTCAATGTTATTGCCAAATCACCTTGGCTGCCTCCTTCTTTAAATTTTGAAAAAACGAACACTCTCAACACCGGCTGCGATGCTCGTCCATTACTCACGCTCCTGAACAGATCAATGGAGTATATCATCTTCTTGGGAGCGTGTACAAATAGTTCAATCAAAGAGCGAGCACATCTGTACGATAAGACCAAATACTTACAGTAGCCTAATTTAACTTAAGAGAACAAAATATGTATATATGTCCAGTCAATTTAGATGATAAGCCATGAGAGCCAACTCATTATTATTATTATTATTATTATTATTATTATTATTTTCTTTGATTTCTGGCGTTTACACATTTCTTTCCGGGTCCCGCCCAGGGACCTAAGGTTAGAAATGGCGTCACGACAATTTCCACTGACAAAAAAAAAAAAAAGATAAAGCCCTTCGTAAGGTGTTGGCTGTACTTGTTATTATTATTATTGTCATCATCATCATCATTCGATTTCTGCTATGGACACACTACCTACCAAGTCTGCGGAAAGACCTAAGGCAGGTCGTGGTGTGTTGTTATGGCCACATTTCATGTTAATTTTTTTTTTTTTTTTTTTTATCTCCGATGAAGTTGCTAGCGTTACATAGACAAAGTTCTCCTTAGTGTGTGTGCTGTACTTAATAAGACAATTTTCTGTATGTCTCTTAAGCTGGGGTTTTCAGGATTCTTTCAATGTGTTGTTTTGTTCCATTTTTTATAATTCCAAGTGCACCTATTACCACTGGTATTATTCTTGTTTTCAATTTCCACATTTTTTCTATTTCAATTTCCAGGTCTTTGTATTTTGATAGTTTTTCAAATTCCTTGGTTGCTATGTTACAATCCGCTGGACAAGCCATATCAATTAGTAGGCAAGTTTTTTCTTTCTGGTTTTTGACAATAATGTCCGGCCTATTTGCTTCAATTTTTCTGTCTGTGTGGATGGTATAATCCCATAGAATGGTGACATCTTCTATTTCTGTAACCGGCGCTGGCCGATGTTCATACCAGTGTTTGCTTACACATTTTCCAAAGTGTTTGCACATTGTCCAGTGTAAGTATTGCCCCACTCTATCGTGACGATTTTTATATTCTTTTATTATTATTATTATTATTATTATTATTATTATTATTTTCTTTGATTTCTGGCGTTTACACATTTCTTTCCGGGTCCCAACCAAAGACCTAAGGTCAAAAATGCATCATGACACTTTCCACTGAGCATGTTTTGAGAAAAAACATAAGATCAAACACATTTTACATAGATAAAGATCTTTGCAATGTTTGAGCTGTACTTGTGAGTACATTTTTTGTATTTCATTAAACCAGAAATCTCTTCAGTGCGTCTATTAGAATCTTTTCCAATCAAAGCGAGGGTTGCAACTACAACTGGGATTGTTCATGTCCTTATGTGCCACATTTTTTGAGATTTCACTATCATCATTATTATTATCAACATTATTATTATTGTTATTATTGTAGATATTATCATTATTACCGTTGTTATTATTATGATCACTATTATTATTATCAACCATATTATTATTTTCATTATTATTATTATTATTACTA